TGTTTCTAGAATCTGATATTCCATGATGACCACATTCTGGCTCAACTCTCAAACAGCTGTGAAAATAAGTGAATAGGAGAGCCCACATAAATATTATCTACAGATGATACGCAAAGTTAATAATCTAATAGTTTTATTATAACTGGTTAAGTACAAACCCTGCTTCATGGCTGGTAGCATTATTAGTAAGACTGATACAGACAGAAGGTTGCTGGCGATAGCGATCTAAGAGGAAACAGGTAGCAAAAGCAAACTTTTTTTTATAACTTCTGCTTGTCAAAATCCTACTCTGCTTTTAAGGCCAAGTTCAAATTGTATTGCCACCAAGAATCTCTTCCGTGGTTCTTTTTTTTTTTTTTTTTAAATTTTTTTTTTTTTTAACATTTATTTATTTTTGGGACAGAGAGAGACAGAGCATGAACGGGGGAGGGGCAGAGAGAGAGGGAGACACAGAATCGGAAACAGGCTCCAGGCTCCGAGCCATCAGCCCAGAGCCCGACGCGGGGCTCGAACTCCCGGACCGCGAGATCGTGACCTGGCTGAAGTCGGACGCTTAACCGACTGCGCCACCCAGGCGCCCCTCTTCCGTGGTTCTAATCTTTCTCACTGGTGCTCCCAAAAGGTCTCATAGCTTTATTAGGGTACTTAATACATTCACCAACGCATATGACAAACGTTTGCCTATGCGACACTCACTGTACTGTGGACATGCAAAGACGAGTAAGACACTGCTCTTAAGAGGCCCAAAGTCAAGTGAGTTGCCCTCTATTATAATTATTTATGATCTGACTCCCTGCACATAGTGGTTGCTCAATAAGTACTGAATATGAAATTATATAGGTCTCTATGTGTATATATATTTTTTCTTACTAAATTATTACAGACTATATATTTCTTGAGGATAGATGATGGTTTTTGTTTATCTTTTATCTTTCTCACAGCATCTGGCTTAGTGTCTTGCACAGAGCAATGTCTGACATTGAACTAAATGTAATTTTCAGTTCAGCCTTAAGTGGATTTGCTAAATTATTAAAATTCACAGCTTCTGCACTCTCAAGCATTGAGAACCATCCCTGTGAATTACATTGATAAAGTTTAGAAAACTCTGTTTTTCTTTTAATGAGGAGAAGACAATATGGAGGAAGTAAAATTAGCAAATTTTAGAGCTGAGTCAGATTTGGCCCAGAAGAATTATTCACAGAAAAAAGGATATTGAGGGAAATGGGGAAAATCTGGTAGAGGATAAGGACTAATTTTTATTTTATTTATTTTATTTTATTTTTAAATTTTAATTTAATTTTTTTAGAGAGACAGAGAGGAAGACAGAGAATCTCAAGCAGGCTCCAAACTCAGCACAGAACCTGATGTGGGGCTCAATCTCACGATCCCAAGGTCATGACCTGAGCCAAAATCAAGAGTCAGACACTTAAGACTGAGCCACCCAAGCACCTTGGGGCTAATTTTTAAAATAAAGCCAAAACAAAACACGGTTCCCATTGAAAAAAAAGGATGAAAGAAATGAAAACTCTCCTTGTTAAATACGAAACATAACAGCACGAATAGAGTAATTTTTCTAGCATGGCAGGTTCTCCAGTCCTTCTAGCTATTACTCAGGGGCAAAGTAGCTAGAGACACCGACGGAGTGCAGTCTTCCAGAGCAGTGGCTCACGAGCGAGCACAAGAGCACAGGAGAATCACCTCAGGAGCCTTTTAACAAACGATGCCTGGACCCACCCACTGAGCTTCTGATTTAGTTGGTTTAAAGAGGGCCCCAACAATCACATTTCTGAAAAATTCCCCAAGCAATACTGGGTGACTGGGGTTGAGAAGCACTGCTTTAGAGAAAGGGTATGTTTAGGAGAACTCTGATATAGAAAGGACAAGATCTGGAATTGAAAGCCTTGGATTTCAGTCCAGATTCTGGGTGGGTCATTAATTTCTCTTTCTCTCCATCTCTATATTCTCAAAGACAAGATGAGACCTAACAAGGCTGTTGGAAAGACAGAAAAAGAAAAATGTGAAAGGCTGTGAAACATTGCATGGTCATTAAGCAGTATGCAAATATTTACTTAATGCCACCACTAGGATCATCAATCTTTTAGGTCTGGACTGATAATTTGTGCAGAATCCCACACAGAAAAATGATTAATATGAGCCAAATGAAAACTTACATTTTCATGTTAACAAATCCAAAGTGGAATAAAAGAAATCATTAAGAAGCAGATGGTGATTCCCCTTTAATGAGACATGATCCTGGAGAAATAGACTGCTAACCTTAGGAGCAAAGGCCCTTCATTAACGCTCATTATAGTTAATTGCTATGTTCACAAACTAATCAACATGAGAGGACGATCAATCTCAATCTCCTTGCTATAGCAGCCTGGAAATTCAGGGCCAGAAGTAATTTAGCACCCCAGATTTTCATCATCTGACAAAATCTGTCCTTTCATTTCAGAGCTCTTTTGCAAGGTCTCCAGGCCTTATATTAACTTCTGCTAAAGCTACTCTATTCCTTCAAGGGAGATGTCTCCAACACCCTATTTATTGCTTTAAAAAATTTCATAATAAAACATGAATTAGACTGTTCTGATAATTATTTTAAGGTCAAAAAAATGTCTGGACCAAACTTATTTAAAACTTAGTCTGGTAAAAAGAAAAGAGTGTTTCCTAATGCAAACACTGTGCTTCCAGCATAGGGACTAAAAATCCATCTAAACATCTGCCATCGATTTTCTTTCTTTTTAATTTTTAATTTCTTATTTTTATTTTTTAATGTTTCTTTGCCTTTGAGACGGAGAGAGATAGAGCACGAGCGGGGGAGGGGGAGAGAGCAAGGGAGACACAGAATCCGAAGCGGGCTCCAGGCTCCAAGCTGTCAGCACAGAGCCTGACGCAGGGCTCGAACTCACAAGTCGTGAGATCATGACCTGAGCCACAGTCGACCGCCCAACCCGAGCCACCCAGGCGCCTCTAAACACCTGCCATCAATTTTCTGAAATTATAATTTCCAACAGATATGAGCTGGGTACTAAGCACTGTAAAAGTTGTCTCTGGGAGAGAACATTGTCCTCTGTCACTTTCCGTTAGTGATGAGTCTTCCCTCGTAACTGAGGAAACAACTGCTGTGTAGGGACAGGAACATTTTTAGTGCCAGGTCAGGTTCCTTGGCCATGGCCACATGGTAATCACTGTCCACTGGAAAGGGCATTGGCTGGAAACGAGAAGATCTGGCATTGTGGGGTGTGTGTATATGTAGGTGATCTTTAAGAGGTATGCCTTTTAGCTGATTTCTGCTTCAGTTTGTCCACCCCATACCCTGGCAAAACCCCAGAGGCTGATTCAGTTCTGCCATCTGCTCCTTCCTGCACCAGGTGCAGCTGGTGTGGAAAGGTATCAGAGAGCAGTGTTGACTACTGCACCACTACAAACCCATGGTCTCCAATCGCAATGCTGCTCAAAAAATGCTCCATCATCTCTCCCTGAGTTCTCTAATAATCTTAGTATCAGTCTTTCAGCTTCTTTGCTTGCTCCTTCCCAAACTGTTTTCCACAAAGTGGCCAGAGTCCTTTATTTAAACCTGCACACAACCATGTCATTTGACTGCTCACAGCCCTTTAAAGAGCTTCCCATTCCACCAGACTCGTTCCATACACATGTGGGCCCTCATCTCCCTTTCAAACCTCACCTCAGGCCACTCTCCTCCTTGCTAGTATGCTCTAACCACAACAGTCCCCTTTTGGTGCCTCACATGCTAGACCTTTGTGTTTTCTGTTACGGACTGGATGTGTGCCTCCCAAAATTTCTACATTGAAGCCTTAACCCCCATTATGGCCGGATTAGGAGGTGGGGCCTCTAAGCAAATAATTAAGGTTAAATGAGGCTATAAGGGCGGGGCCTTGAACTGACAGGATTAGTGTTCTCATAAGAAGATGCATCAGAGAGCCGGTGTACATGTGTGCTCTTGTGCTCCTGCTCTCTGGTTTTCTCTCTTACCTTGCCAACAACCAAGGAAAGGCCATGTGAGGATACAGCCAGAAGGTGGCTGTCTGAAGGACAGGAAGAGAGCCCTCACTAGAAATTTAATTTGTTGCACTTTGATCATGGACTTCTAACCTCCAGAACTGCGAGAAAATAAATTTCTATTGGTGAAGCCACCCAGTCTGTGGTGTTTTGTTGTAGCAGCCCAAGCAGACTAATAATATACTGCCTTAGAGTTTTTAACATATTCTAGTTCCTTCTTTCTGGAGCCCCCCTCTTCCGTCTTCCTCATTTTCTTCCTCTTTCTGCTTCCTTACTTCCCATTCTAATATGCCCTCCAATCTAATAAAACAGCTCTCCCAAAAGTCATTAATTATTACCATTTTACCAAAGCCAATGGATGTTTATCCTCTTAGTTTACTGGACCCTCTCTGTCCCATGTGACACCCCCCGTCCCTCGCCCCCCAGTCCCTGAACCCTCTACTTCCTTGGCTTTGATTGCACTACCTTCTCTAACCATTTCCTTCCTGTGCTGTTTATATGTTAGTGTTCCACTTGATTTTGTCTCTGGCCAAAAAAAGACAGTTCTTTTCTGTATAATACAGAAAATTCCTTGGGCAATCTCATGGTTTTAACTTGAATAGTGTGTTGATAATTCCCAAACCTATCTCAGTCATCTGAAGTAGATCTGAATATCCAAGTGCCTGCTACTCATCTCTAATTGGATAGTCCACAGGTGTCTTACATTCAAGATATCTATAACTAAAGTCTTTATCTTCCTCTGTAAACCAGTCTCTCTTTTCAATTCCTCAGTCTTAGTTCATGGTGCCACCCTTTGTGTGAACAAGAAACCTAGGGGGTTATTCTGGACTCACCCTTATTCCTCGCCCACTGCTTTTTTTTTTTTCCTTCAAGTATGAGAGATGAATTATAGTATTTGCTTCATGACACTCTCATTTTGTTGGTACCCGTGCTAGTACCTTCCCACAGTTCCTTCTCTTCCTGTAAACAGAGAGACCCACCTTTCCCTCCTTGAAGTGCTTCTTGAGCTGCTTCTGCATGGCGGTCAGCTTCTTGGACTGTACCCCGCTGTAGGCCAGCAGCATGCCACCAAACTGCCTCTCGGTAATTTTCCCATCCACCGGGTCATGGCGCTCGAACTGGGAGGGAAAGAGAAAGAGTGTTCTTGGGATCAAATGCAAAGTCTTTTGACATGGAATGTGGAATGAGCAACTGCGTTGGATGGCAGAAAATAGTTGATGGCTGCCAAGACTGCATTTTTGAACTATAATTTTCACTAAGATTTGAAAAATTAATCAGAAACAGAAGATCTGGGTTCTTATTCCAGCTTTGCACTATTTATGACTTCAGGAAAGTCACCCAACTACTCCGGGCTTCGGTTTCTTCACGGATAAGACGGAGCTGCTGTGATACCTCATGGACCTTACAGAGCAGGAGCGTCCAATGTTAAAACTCCATTCCAATTCATGAGTAATATTATTGGTGATAAGTGCTGTATGGGTGGGTCATCCATGTCCCCGTTACTCAGTGATAACTTGAAAGCTAATTATTCGCTCCCAGTATTTATTATAATCAGTAGGCAATTACAAAGGAGGGGAATCCTCCCCCAGGACTCCAGCTAGAGAAGACCGTCTACCTGTCACAGACTTAGAGGAATAGCAACTAGCTATGGAGCAGATGGGACGAGATTGAAGGAATGTAGCAAACACTGACTCTCAAATGCCCCTGCCCTTTGGGAAATGAGTGCAGTCTCCCAGGAAGTGGTAGGGGACGCCAGCAGAAGCTCACTGAGCCCTTGGACAGGAAGACTAGCACTGAGTGCTGGAGGTGAGGGACAGGTAAGGAGGTGCTCTCAGACATGGCAAAAATGCCAGGAACTAGAAGTTAATGACGGATGTCTATGGAAGTCACAGACACAAAACTCCTAAATAACCTTCACGAAACCCGCAATTATGTGCTGCTAGAAATGAATGAGAATGGGAACGTGATAAATAAAACTTGGAAGATATGGCCAAAGGTGATCTTCCAATTGCCTGAAATGTCCTCATAAAACTTTAGTTTGCCTCATCAAAAAAGAAGAGAAAATCCTAGTGCACAAAATTAGAAATGACAAATTGTACGCAGCAAAGAATACACATTGAAGATGAATTCATTTTATAATTTTATAAATTAAAAAATAATTTAATAAATTAAGAATTGGAGGATTTCAAGAAAAATACTATCTCCCCCACCCCCACAATTGAGTCAAGAAGTAGAAAATCTGAACACGCCAAGAAAAAAAAAAACCCTCTGAAAAAAAGCTAATTATTATAAATTTGATCAACTGTACATCCATAAAGTCATATCAGTTCCTCAATCTGTAATATATTCACACCTTTAAGGATTTCAAAGAAAAGCAATGCATTTTCAGGTTTTCCCCAAAATGGTAATCAAATGCTAGGTCGTCAATAGAGCTTAAAAAAATTCGTGGTGTGGGATGCCTTTATTAGACATGCTTATTTATCACAAAACTACTGAAAAATCATTAAATATATTTAAATATGCAGATGGAAAGGTTAAGCATAAAGGACTTCTAGCTAATTTCAGTAATATCTGAAAAACTAAGATTTTCATTTAAAAATGGAGGCAGAAAAGTTATTTCTGTGCCAGCTGCACTGGTTAGCGATACTTATAAATGCATAAAGAACAACATGGCTAACAATGGGCTCAGAAACCAGAAAGCAAAACAATTTGAAGATGGTAAAAATATCCCCATCGTTTTATTGGAAGACTTTAAGATTCTCATGTGGCAGGGCATAATCCTGTTCTCATAAGAGGGGTATAGAAAGACATAAGACACTGCTAAGTAAGGTCACGTCAACAAACATTTCCTGAATGTCTACTAGTTATCTAGCACTGTGTTAGCCATTATGGACTGCAGGACAGAAGAAGATTCAGTTTCTGCCCTCAATATGTGACACAAAATAAGGAAGCATGCAGTCAAGAGTGAATTTCTCTTTTAATTCTCATTTCCTCAGTTAGCTTGGTAAGTTGTTTATACATTCATATCCTCACTAGTGGGACTGTATCAGTGAGCAGGACACAGAAACTACATTTTAGCAACAACAACATTTACCGAGCACTACTATGGGCCAGGAACTTCACCCATGTATTCCTTCATCTAATCACTTCAAAACACTAGAGCAGATATTATCAGCTCCAGTTTCGGGATAAGAAAACCAAGGCAACAGGAAGTTCCATGTGGCAGAGCTGGGACTCAAACTCAGCTCTGTTAGGATCCAAAGACTTTATCTCAATATCACACCGTTTCATCACTCTAAGCAATGTACGAATCCATCCTATGGGACAGCACTGCATTGTTTTGGATAAACTAATACAACCATGGGGTTTAGTCACATTTAAGTGAGAAGTAAAACTATTTCCAAAGAAATCGACATCATCAGTGTTAAGTGAAGGCCTCTTTTTTAAACTCAACTACTAGGGGTGCCTGGGTGGCTTAGTCAGTTAAGCATCTGCCTTCAGTTCAGGTCATGATCTTACTGCTCGTGAGTTCAAACCTCACGTTGGGCTCTGTGCTGACAGCTCAGAGCCTGGAGCCTGCTTCAGATTCTGTCTCCATCTCTCTGCCCCTCCTCTGCTGGTGCTCTGTTTCTCTCTCTCTCTCAAATAAAAAATAAAACAAAAAATAAACTCAACTACTCAATCCTTCATTTCTTGTTACCCCATCACTTCTACAGAGCTGATTAATTTTTTGATTTTTAAAAATATCAAAAGTTTTCAGGATTCAATTTAAGTTTGATTTATGGTTCAATTTACTATCCTGAAACAACATGGAAGACTGATAACATTTTTGCAAATTGGAGTACTTTCTACAATGTGTAAATTAGATCCTCAATGAAAGGTGACACTGGGCAGGAGCTGGAGATGCACAGGTGATCGACAGGCTTCAAGAGGTGAGTAAGGGAAACACAGCTGTGGCCCCTGCTCCCCCAGGTAGGCTTTACCAATTTAGATGCTCACTGTACCTCTATCTGTGAGATTTCACAGCGATGGAGAAACTCCACCTATCTGAATTAGAGGAGTCTGAAGCTGTATCCTATGAGACAGACTCAAGGGTGAAATGCTCGCTGTTCACAAGGCTGGCAGCAGTGGCAGCTTGTTCCAGGCAAGCTGTATTCGTCTGTTCTCCACAGGGGCACAAAGCCTCACCTCTGTGATTTTCAAAGACAATAAAGACAATTTCCAGTAGAGGCTTCCAAGGAACAGTTCCAATGCTCAAATTAGACTTTTTATTAATGTTCTTTGGAAAACTCAGACTTGACTTTGGGCAGTAGGTTCTATTATTATATTACTGTTATTATTTTTATGTGGCTGGAACTTGAAAGGAAATAGAAACTGTAAAATTCTGCTCCGGGAAGTATGGCCCACTACAAAGTTACTACCTCCTCTGTAATTTGATTTGGGGCAGCACCTCTCCTTTTAGGTTTTTAGGCTCTTCTGAGGCAACACTGCCTTATTTCTGAGGTCTTAAACACACCTGGAAGAGGTGGGGGACAGCAGTTTCTCTTTACATACAAAACTGCTAATGGGAACTGGCTTGAACTAATGTGCTATTCATTCGACATTTATTCGCTGAGGACCTCCTATGTTGAGGCTAGGGAACTTCAAGGGCAGTTTCTCAAGGACCTTCACTGGGGCTACGTTTTTAAGAGCTACAGTTAGATATCACATGGCTCTAGGGATGAAGGGTGTATCTTAAGTCTATAAAATCCTGTGGATGTAACTCCTGGAGCACAGCGTGCATGTAATTCCCCAGGTCATGAGACTGTCTTTGGGGAAAGATATAGGTTATTACAAAATTATCACAATGTAGAGAGCTTCCAATTGTGTATTTGGAAGCAATTCAAATGACCAGCTTGCATTTTACTTAGTCAAACATTGATACAGCCTCTTATGTTGCACTTCAATGGTAAGAAATTCCAATCTATTTGCTCCCGCAGCACAGAATGTGTGCGTTCCATCACACCATCCACCATTTGCTTTGTTTTTCTGTCTAGGAAGTCTTCTCTTCTGTAGCCACTGCCACTTTCCCAAAAGGATACAAGCTGTTGGCTCCCTTTTGTTCCCCAGGGGGTTGCAAAGAGGGGCCAAAGGAGAGGAGCCAAAAAACTGTCCACAAGATTTTTCCTGGCTTTCTTTTCATAGTGTGCCTCTTGTTCCCACTGCTGCCCCGTGTTGAGAGAAGGAATAGCTTTTTGGAAGGACAGATGGTCTATATACATCTAGATGAAATGATTTAAGGAATATGGGAAGCCAGAAAGAGAAGAAAACATGTCTTATGAACAAAGGCCAAAAAAAAAAAAAAAAAAAAAAAAAAAAAAAAAACAAAAACGGATTTTTAAAGATTATAAAAGGAAAAAGAAATCAGTATCTGCAAGTGGATCTTGATTTATTAAAGACTTCCGAGGTTAATATATTCCAACAAATGTAAACTTCAACCTTGTTCTCTTTCACACAATTATCTTTCAGGAGATTTTGTCTCTCTCATAGAGTAAATCCTGCCTTTATACAAGTATTTCAGAATGATAATTTTCTTGATAGGCTTTTTCTAGTTTCCGAGCTGCATAATGCAAGTAATACAGAGTAATCTCAAGCCACTGGGCTGAACACATCTATTTTTTTCAACATGACAGTGTTTGTTTTTTTTTTTTTTTAAGTCATCTATACCCAACGTGGGGTTCGAACTCTGACCCTGAGTTCAAGAGTCACATGTTCTACTGACTGAGCCAGCCAGGCATCTCTTCTGAGATCTTCACCATGCCACTGCTGCTCCCACCAGGAGTCTGAGGACAACTGTCTGTTAGGCCCACGGAAAGGAAGAACAATTACAGGCAATGTTCTCTACTGCAAATCCACATAGTGACCATGACATTCACACTTCATCCTTTGAATGGGAAATCCGTAACTACAGTTGGCAGGGAACATCAGAGAGCCCCAGGTCAAATTGCCTGGAGCCTGAATTTTCTTGATCATTAAAGATAAGATGCATCTTCACTGTCAACACTTTTATACTTGTCTTTTGGCTAACTGGCAAGGTGAGGAAGAAGTCCACAATTTGGAATGGAGGCAACATGGTTCA